GCTGCTAGTCTCACCGGTGGGGCAATAATGACGATGTGTAGAGACGATTTCTCTTGCGAGGACCTGAAGCCTGTGCTTCAAGTGATTGACTTGAAGCTGGTTCAGTCGCAGCAGCATAACAGCACGGAGAGGTATAGGCTTGTTCTTTCAGATGGTTCCCATTACCAGCAAGGGATGCTTGCTACTCAGAAGAACGAGTTGGTCCATGCTGGACGATTGCAGAAGGGCTCTGTTGTTAAGTTGAATCAGTTTATCTGTAATGTTGTCCAGAGCCGCAAGTAAGTCGCTTTTTTTGGGGCATTTCTAGTCCCTGGTTCTCATTCGTTAGATTTTGTGTCAATGAACCATTTTCATTACTTGCGTTGAAGTTATGATTTTGAATGGCGATTGGTCTTCTTGATTTCTTTTTCGATTGGCATTTATGATGAATGGAGATGAGAGCAAAGTCTCTGGATTGGGGCGTTTTGAATGCCGTCGTCGTTGTTATTGTGAAGGTTCACTAAATGAACATGCAAGGAAGTAATAATTAAATCTCTGGATTGGGATCATCTGATTGGTGTGTAACTGGTAAATGAGACGATAGTTTTTTAATATTGTTCCTTCTCTGTAGTTTTGTGTACGGATTGGTTCTTCCTGTTGAAAGGGACGAGCTAAATGATTGAATCTGGATGTTCCTCGGGGATATAGGATATGAGCATATATTTCGTTACTAGAATCAAATAGATTTTAGGCCAGTAAGAGTGTTCGTTGTTGAATGATTCATTCTCACTGCATAGACTGGCTGTTTATCTATTCATACAGAGGTTAATCATTAATAGTTTTAGAATTGACAAACTTGGGGAAGCCTAGGTGGGAGTGGGATCAATCAACTCACTTTCAAAATTTTACAGGGGTGTTGTATTGTATTTTCCCATGGTCTTAACTGAGTATGGCTGTTATTACATCGGAAAAAAATTGTTGGTGAGACTAATTGCTTGGTATTTTTCTATCATGCTGTATTTTCAAAACTTTGAACAGATATGCATTCAGAATATTTCCTATAAATTGAATTCTTTCTTGTCCAGTAGGTGGAGTTTATGCTCCCAGGTAGAATTTTGCACCTTTGTTGTCCATGTTAGGGGGTCATTAGATGATGTGGTTGTCTCATTCACCATAAACAGGATCATCATCATTATCGAGCTGGATATGGTAGTTGACAGATGTGATCTGATTGGAGAACCTGTTGCCGCACCAAGAGCTGTACCTACTTCATCTTCCTCTGATCAGTCTGGAGTTACCACAGGGAACCCCCAGTCTTTAACCAGTAATTCACCTGCAGGTGGCAAGATTGCTCGACCAAATGTGATTGGGCCATCTCTAGATCATTCACAAATGAATCTCACTACCAATGGTGCAAGATATGGTACTGCAAATGTCCCTCCTCGATTGCCTAAAGTAGAGCCTGGAGCTACCCCTATTTTACCTAATTCAGGGCCACTCAATGGCTCCTACAGTGAACAGAACATGGGATTTCGCAATCCTCGACCAGAAACTCCAAGACCCCCGCAAAATGCATATATTCGTCCACCACAGCCTATGCATAGACAGCCTTCTCCAATTTACAATAACAGGGGACAAATGGCCAGAAATGAAGCTTTACCAAGGATAATTCCAATAGCTGCATTGAGTCCATACCATAGCATGTGGACAATTAAGGCTAGAGTTACAGCAAAGGCAGGCCTCAGGCAGTACAACAATGCCAGAGGTGATGGCAAGGTATTTTCTTTTGATCTTCTTGATTCTGATGGTGGAGAAATTCGTGCAACTTGCTTTAATGCAGTGGCTGAACAGTTCTATCAACAAATTGAAATTGGCAAAGTATATCTCATTTCGAGGGGGAGTATAAAGCCTGCTCAAAAAAATTTTAATCACCTTCCTAATGATCTAGAATTGACCATTGATATTACATCCATCATACAGCCATGCAATGATGACGAGTCAATTCCAATGCGTCTTTTTAATTTTCGTCCTATTAGTGATGTTGAAAGCATGGAAAATTCAAGTGTTGTGGATGTGATTGGTGTGGTTTATTCTGTTAGTCCCACCACTTCAATCATGAGAAAGAATGGCAGTGAAACTCAGAAGAGAGCCCTCCAGTTGAAGGACATGTCTGGTTGTAGTGTTGAGTTAACCCTTTGGGGAGAGTTTTGTAATGCAGAAGGACAACGGTTGCAGAATACTTGTGACTCAGGTGCATTTCCAGTTTTGGCTGTGAAAGCTGTCAGGGTAAATGAATTCAATGGGAAGGCCCTTGGGACCATAGCCAATAGTCAGCTATTTATAGAGCCTGATTTTCCCGAGGCTTACAGGTTGAAAGAATGGTTTGACAAGGAAGGGAGGAATGTTCCAGCTATTTCTATTTCCAGAGAATCATTCAATGCTGGTAAGACTGATATGAGGAAGACTATATCTCAAATCAAAGATGAGAAGTTGGGGACTTCAGAGAAGCCTGATTGGATTAGCATCTGTGCAAGCATTTCATTCGTTAAGGCTGATTCTTTCTGCTATCCAGCCTGTCCCATCATGATAGGGGATCGGAAATGTAGCAAGAAAGTGTCCAATAATGGAGATGGAAAATGGCGGTGTGATAGATGTGACCAGAATGTTGATGCATGTGAATATAGGTATATACTGCAACTCCAAATACAGGATCACACTGGGCTAACATGGGTTACTGCATTTCAGGAGTGTGGTGAGGAGATAATGGGCTTACCTGCCAAAGATCTTTATTATATGAAATATGAAGAGCAGGACGATGAAAGGTTTGCTCAAATCATCCGTAAGGTTCTTTTTACTAAATACATATTCAAGTTAAAAGTTAAGGAAGAGACATTCGGTGATGAACAGCGTGTAAAGTCAACGGTAGTGAAAGCAGAGAAGGTGAACTTTTCATCTGAATCAAGACTTCTTTTGGATTTGATTGACAAGCTTAAAGCTGAGAAGGTAGAAGGCATCAATCCTAACTCTGTAATCAGTAATGCTGGACCGCAGAATGTTGGATCTGGCCTGGCTGTGCCGCCAGCTTATACTCCTATAAGGAACAGCAGTGGTGCGAGTAGGGAATATGGGATGCCAGAAAATCAAGTGGGTCAGTATGAACGCCAATATAGGAGTTCTTTTGCTTCAGGTGGGTCTTCTGGTTCATTTATGCCTTGCAGCAATTGTGGAGGCTCTGGCCATAGCTCTATGTTTTGCCCAAACATTACTAGTGTACCTCGACAGTCCACGGGAGGAGGGGCCTTTACAAATAGGGCATCCTCAGCGGCAGGTGGTGGAATTGCCACTGGTGAATGCTTTAAATGTCATCAAACTGGTCACTGGGCAAGAGACTGTCCTGGTCTCAATGCGGCAGCCCCTTCAGGTTATGGAAATAGTAGTGTTCATGGAGGACATGGGTTTGTTCAAAGGCAACAGCTTGGCGGATTTTGAACTGCTATTGGAAATGAGAGATGCTCTTGTAACATCATGTTGGATTCTGTCATTGATTCGTTGACGGGTTCTTTGGGGATGGGTGATCTGTACAGCTCAGTTTTGAGAACCTACTTTCATGGCGTTATGCTTCAGAACTGAGGGATTCCGCTTTCCACAAGATGCTGTTGAACAGTGAGCGGCTTGCTTTGTTTGGGGTCTTTTGTATAGTTAGTTTATGAAGCATTGGTTGGCATCTTTATATCGAGTTGGATTTTGTTACGCATGTAACTTCAAGCTTGAGTCATGCGCTCGGAGAGAAATTTCTGTGAGCATGTTACAAGCCTCCCTATGACAATTTTGTAATATATCTAGCAGGTTTATGTTCACTAACTTAACAACTCCCAACAAAATCAAAATCCTCATGTTTAGTTTAAGGATTTCTCAACAATTTTCTCATTTAGTTTAATTAATATTCCTTCAGTCTTTAATATAGAATTTAATTATTGAGTTGATTTTGATTCTAGATATTAAAACTTATTTTTTATATTTATTAATTTTTTAAAATCATTTTTAGGGATATTTTTTTAATCATGATCAAGTAGAAAAGAGAGAGGATATTAAGGAAAATGATTATAGTATTTTAAAAAAATATGTCATACTTTTTATAATTGAGTAATTTGTCTAATTTTCTTAATCTAATCAAATTAGTTAATTAGATCTTATATTAAGGATTAAAAAGTGATAAATTTTTCTTAATTTTGGACAAACAGGTCCTAAAACAAAGAATGACTTGAGGAAATTAATTTTGGATTCTCTTACAAATATACTGCCATTAACGCATAGAGGGGAGGGGGGGGGAAAGTGATGTAGATTACAAAAGAAGTCTCTATTAATAGATTCCAGTAAGAAAATAAATTATGTGGTGGTTCATCCATCCATTCAAATGCGTTCTTAGCAATTTTCATACAAATCATATGCCTTTACATCATTCGCAATTTTGCATAGATGGATCTTATTGGGATGAGGTTTCTAATGGATTGAAGGCTTGAACTCCAAGGTCAAACGTACCGTAATTCAAAGATATTTAAAAATTAGTTCAATTAGTTATTTTTAAGTACTTCTCCCAATAAGACTCCATTTGACTTTTCATTTGATCCTAATTATAAGACCCCAATCCATTTTGTCTCTTATATTATGCATTTTTTTCCAAGATAATCCTTCTAATAATGATAGTTTTAGCCAATATACTTAATTAGCAAGGATATTTTAGGAATACAACACTTATTTATTATAAATAACCAACTTAACTTACTTCCTTAATCTCCTCAAATAAGTCAATTGGGTCTTATAATTAGGACCGGAGGAGTATTATTTTTATTAAAATATTTTAGTTAATTATATGTATTGAAATTGCTCTTAATTAAAATTGGGTACGGTTAATTTATGTATTAGTTTGAAAAAAATTTTAAATTTTAAAGGCAGTTAATGCAAAGTTCTCTCCGCCGCAGGGCCCCGTCTCGAGTTTCCACCGGTTTTAAGCAAGGAAAAAAACACGTGCAACATCCTCTGTCGTCGTACTCCCTTGTCTGTGGTGGCCACACGTCCTTCCAGCTTTCGGGGTCGTCAATTGCCGTCCGGCGACAATAACTTCGGTATGTTCTCCCTCTCCAGACTCCTTCGCTTTTCCTAATTTCAGTATTGATCACTTTCTCGGCTTGATTCAATTCATTGGTTTTCGATTCGTTGAAGATGGACAAATCAGCTTATTAGGGTTCGTGTGGATTTATCTTTCTGGCCTCGTGCGGTCTAGGTTCCTAGAGTTTTCGCTGGCTTCTTTGAACATCAATTATTTTCATGGTGTTCAATAATTGGACTGTGTTTTAAACTCATGAACGGTCTATTTGCTGAATTCCCTTGTTCTAAATGCTTTTTGATGTTGTAGACCTGTAGTCGTGCGTTATTTAAACCTTACTGATCAATTCATGATGTTAAATTTTTAATAACTTTCTCGCCAATAACATCCTAACTTCTACTGAAGGCTTAGGTGCTGGTTCTCCTTCTTCATTTAGTTTACTAGAACTGGGAGCTATTGATACTTTGCACTAGAAAAGATGAGTGTGAAATTTTCTGTGCCAATTGCTGATCGAGATGTTGACCCTTTTGATTTGTAATCCAGAAATTCACTCGGGGATTGTTTTACTAGTACATACTTTCTCACTTTTGTTTATTTTTTCTTTGTTTTTAGAAGGAGTTTCTTTGATAACAGCAGACAATGGATTTATTAAAGGGAATGAATGAAGATGTATCTGAGTGCCCCTTTGATGTGAAAGACATCCAAAGGTGCCCCTTTCTGAGAAACATCAACAAACCTACTAACTTCTTCTTTTCTTCATCAAGGATTAACGTTCCTGTAAGTTTTCTGTGCACTTTCTGTGAAACTTCTATCTGAATGTTGAAATTCAATATGGTTCAGCATTTTAATCGAGTGCCTTAATTAATTCTAAATATTCAGGTGCTCGGAGCCAAGGGTCCTATATTTGAAGATGGTCCTAATTTTGACATGGCATTTAAGCTCTTCCATGGGAAAGATGGAATTATCCCCCTATCTGAAAAATCTGACTTACACAATGATTGTAGAGAACTTGAGCCTCAGCCTGTTTTCAACCCTTTGGCTGCAAAATTTGCCACCATAAGCCTGTCATCCTTTGGGCCTGGTGGCATGTTCGGTTTTGGTGATTTCTCTGAGAAATGGAAGAAGCAAAAGAAGACTGAACCGTCAAACAAAAGAGAACCTTCATCCCAGGTAAACATTGTTGTTGGGCATTTTAACATGAGTTTTGTGCTGGTAGGAAGCATTTAACTATTTAATGATGTGGCCTGGAGACTATCCAATGTTGGGCATGAATTAATATGATCACGTGAAAGAAAAACCTACACTTTCCGTCTTTGGATTTTTTGCTTCATGCGATAATGTTGCCAAAAATTAGCGATAATTCTGCTATTAGGTTTAGGCTCCAAGGGCAAGGTTATTACAATTCTATGTGCTTGATAAAATTTAGCGCACTAGCTCATCAAGTTTCAACTACTGTAGAAAAAAATGTTGGAGATGTGACTTGTATTTCTTCTTTGTTCTCCTTTTGAGCTTTCTATCAGAAAGGAGATTTATCCAAGCACGAGGCACTTGGAAATGAATGGTTGGAAACAGGGAACTGTCCTATTGCCAAGTCTTATAGAGCTGTGAGCCATGTTCTACCCCTTGTTGCTTCAGCTCTTCGGCCACCACCTGGAATGAAGCTTAGATGCCCACCTGCAGTTGTTGCTGCAAGAGCGGCCCTTGCACGCACAGCGTTTGTGAAAAACTTGCGTCCACAGCCTCTTCCTGCAAAAATGCTTGCAATTGCAGCCTTGGGAATGGCAGTTAACGTTCCCTTAGGTGCATGGAAGGAACACACCGAGAAGTTCTCGCTATCATGGTTCGCAGCAGTGCATGCAGCTGTTCCCTTTATTGCCATGCTTCGGAAATCAGTGTTGATGCCTAAATCAGCAATGGCTTTGACAATAGCAGCTTCCATCTTAGGCCAGGTTCTTGGCTCTAGAGCTGAACGCATCCGACTCAAAACTATATCTGAGAGGGGAAAAGTGGTCACTGAGCCAGCGAGTACCATTTCAGGCTTTAATCCAAGCAAGCATGATGACTTTAAGAATGGTCACTGCGGTGCAGGTGGGATGGGTGTGGACTCGGTTTCTATGAAGGAGGGTCGTCCAACTTCAGCAGCCAGTATCTGTTATTGACCACACTGAGATCCATTCATGTATGAATGTGTAATTGATGACCAGAGGTCATAATATGAAATTCTAAGAATAATAATAATAAAAGCATCAATTGTGTGTCTGTAATACGAACAGTTGTTCCGGCTTACTGCTTCTCACGCAGAAAAGCATCGGAGCCTGAGTTTAATACCAAGTTCTTACAAGGAATAGCAGCTTTTACTGCATCATAAAGTTTTAACTGAATCCAGAAAATAGAAGCCTTTAGGCTTTAACTGGAACGTGCAGGGTGCGGGTATGTTGATAATGTTCGGTTGAAGTGGAAGGAAGTTGGTGGCTAGGAATGAAATGAGGGTTTAAAAATCATTCCTTTTTTTTTTTTGGATAAAAGATCAAATGATATTAATAAGAAAAATGAAACATTACATATACATGACTGAAGAAGAGCAGGAAAAAATCATTCCTTAATTAGTAATACATGTTTGGTCACATGGCCAGGCTTTGATTCCTGCCTTCCTCTTATTTTACTATTTTTTTGGGTCACTGAACCCACCTTAATTTCTCTGGAATCAGGCATGGATGCAGGCACCGCCCCTCTCCCGGCATTATAAATATAGTAGTGACACTTTACATGGCCAACTGGGGAGGTGTAGGCATACTTCAATTAATATCATAATTATATAATTTTTTAATAATACAATAAATTAATATTACTATTGAAAAGTATTTTTTTTGAAGGTTTAATCCAAACAATTGGTGAGTAATACATTAGTATAAAAAAATTTAATTATTATTTGAAGTTGCTAATCATAAGTACATTCACATGAGCTGATGGGAAAAATTTTTTTCACATATTTATTTCGTATACTGTAAATTATTATTAAAAAATTATTTTTAAAAGTTATAATTACCATTCCAAAGTTGAAAGAAGAAAGTTGGGGTTTGAGGCATGCACCGCCGCCTTCCGTGTTGGTGAGATTTGCTGTGTGCAGTGAAGATTCCAATTTCACGTTTGGAGACAGCCCCTCCATCATACCCCACCTCTCATAATTTCCACTCCCTTTCCTTTTTTTCAATTATTTTTTCTCTCCAGCTTTTATTGCGGATATTTTATCCTGAGGCGCCCAAAACGCCAAGCGAGCAATAAATAACACTTTATATATATATATACATATATATTACACAAATTAAAAAAAAAAACGAAAAGTTTGGGAGATTTGTGGTGTGAAGATGGGCCGCACGTGCTGGTGCTTCACACTCTGCTCAGTGTATGTTCATTAAATTAAAAAAATAAAATAACATAAACGAATTATAATTGAATCTAACTAAATAAATAACACATTGCTGGTAAAAAAAAAAAAAAAGCCTAAATAAATAACACGTCATAGGACTTTAGCTTCTCCATGTTCCGTACATCATTCCTGCTATATCATCGACCTTAATAAAATATTACGACCTGTTTGGCGCATCCACATTTGTTATTTTGGGTTGGCCAAGACAAGATGCGCCCATATCTACCCCTTAGGCCGGTTTCTGAGTTCTAAATACCTAATGCCCAATTTCTTCTTCTCTAGAGACAGAGTTAGGCACTAATCCACGTGCTTAATGGGGTAGTCCTGCTTCAACTTGAGATTTATACACTCATTCTACTCTTCCCAAATTACTCAAACACTCCTTAATCACTACACTTTCATATTAATTATAAATCATTAATACAACAACTTAATTATTGAAGAGCATTTTATTATTTCCCTTGTTTCCAGTTGTAAGACGATATTTTGGAGAGCGTGATATGTACAGAAATATTTTAGGGATTAGAGGTATAAAAAATTACTTTAGAATACTAGGAGACTGAAAAACAATTTTAAGACGCGAAATATCCTAAAAGTTAGTTCATGATATTGCAAAAATGCTTTAAAATGTTGGATTTTACTTAACTCAAAATACTCCCTTTCCTTCATAATATACGAGTAAGTCACTTTTAAAAAAATAATTTGGTTTAAAATATAGGTCATTTGATAAGTAACTATCATTTTTTGAAATAGATTTAATGAATTAACTTATTTTTTTATATGAATGAATTCATTAAAATGACTTGTAATCTTGTATTATGAATCAAGAGAGTAGAAAGAAAGAAAGAAAATGAAAGAAAAGTGGTTAATGCTCCAAAAACCAATGGGAGCATTCAAATGGGAACAAGGTCCACCAACTAAAGATCCCAAAAATAAATGCCAAACAACCTAAAGTTTGAGTGCCTTAATGCCCTGATTATTGGGGGTATTCTGTTCACACGCTTTCTGATTCCCAAAAAAGATTGATATTCTAAATTCAGTAACCTCGCAAATAATTAAATGCATTCATTCATAGCATTTGTAATAAACTTGCAAAAGCATTAAAGTGAGGAACCATACCCATATGGGGTGTGTTGGTGGATCCTATAAACATTAGGATTAAAATTTAATTAATTCCTATTTTCTCCTATTTTACTACTTCCTCTCATCCTATATATATATATAAAAAAAAATTGTTAGAACATATATGATCCTATTTAAAAAATACGTTTAACAATTTTGAAATTTTAACAAATTTTTTCTTTTTCCCTCCTATTACTTATATGTTCCTATATTATTACATTAATTATCTAACTCTTTTATTTTCATTTACTAATTCTCTCTTTTACTCGCTCTCTTTCGATCCATAAATAGAAGTATTTTTAAAAAATAAAATATATATTTTTACATATTTATTATTTTTAATTAATTTTAACTAACATTTTTATCAATACAGTTTAGTTATTTATGTCTAGAATGTGTTCGGAAAACATACACCTTTTGACATATTATGTTGACAGGATATTTCAATTCATTCTTGATTGCCAACTTATTTACCGTCTCAAAAAAAAAAAAAGTTCCTTGGTGATACAGTAATCCTATAAATTTAGTTACTTATGCTAAAATTTGAATTTTTTCAGCACAATATTATTTAAAAATTTCTTAAAATACGTTTGGTGGTTCAGTACCACTACTAGTGAGCCAGTGCTGGGCTCACTTTCAACAGATGAACGACGACGTGCTTCTTTAACAATCACCACAATGACAAAGTCAATGACGATCCCTTTTCTTTTTCTTGTTTTTTTTAAAAAATTATTTGTTACTTAGTTTAAAGTTTTTGATGATTTATTCCCATATTTCTTAATCCATCCAACGCATTCACATAATAGTCGATTCCTGTCAAAAAAAAAAAAAAGAGATCGACTTCTTCGTTAATCAGCATTTATAAGCTATAATTATTTTTGGAGAATCCCAAAAAATTATCTTTGAATTTTAAAATTCTAAATCAATTTTTTTTATTACACTTTAATAACAATTGACAACATTTGAAAAGTAAATGACAACACAATTTTGTAATTATTCCTGATTTGGGATTTTAAAATTTTATAAGCATTTTTTTTGGCAAAAATCTATAAGTTTAAATACTAGACTATATTAAAATTGGATTTAATTTGTTGAACTTGTGGCTGATTGAAAAAGTTGTTTTTATCTTTTTTTCCAACAAGCTGATTGAAAAAATTACTGAGGTTTGTTAAGATAAAATTATTGATATAGGGAAACAAATAAACAATGGGTCTCATCGGAGTCCATAAAGAAAATCAATGCATATGGATACATGAATGAAAGAATATTTTGAGCAAAGCGTGATCATTAATTAAGCACGTTATGAGGGGCCAATGTCGAACTTTTGTTTTTTTGCAAGAAAGTCAAACATTATATTCCTCCGGTCATAAATATAAAATTTTTTTATAGTATAAATTACATAATAAAATATATCTAATATTTAGAATTAAAAGAGTCTATACAGATAATACAAAATGGATGATCAAATCATCCCTATTTTCCTAGCAATGGGTTCTTCATATGATGTTGGTAAAACAACATTCAATATCTTGATTTTACTTTCTAAGTGTATTTAGGAGTTAGGACTAAATCTTATTCATGATGCATTGTAACATATTGATGTTATTTTTTTAAGCTAAAGTATACATTTAGTCTTTTTAACTTTACGTAATGTTTCAATTTGGTTCCTTAACTTTACAAAAATATATTTTTAGTCATTTAATCTCAAAATTATTAATCTTAAGTGATAATTTTTTATAACAATCATGATTGTTTTGAATATTAAACTTAATATGTTAGTATTTAGTAATATTTTATCAGCATTTAAGAACTCAATATTATCACTTTGTTTAAAAGTTTTAGAATAGAGACTAAAAGTTTACTTTTTTAAAGTTAAAAATCAAAATAAAACATTGTGTAAAGTTAAAGACTAAAAATATACTTTAGACTATTTTTTATGCATTTGGTTTAATTTTATTTATAGCGCATTTAATGTTCTAAATAAAATCAAAATGATAGACACTTCTCTTTTCATTGTGTTTCATCTCATTTCTCTTTTTTTTTAGTAATATTTTTCTTTTCGTGTTCTCATTCTGTTCTTCGAACTTCTCTGTTGCCAATGTCGTAGTTCTCAGTTAAAATCACTTAATAAAATAACTTTCATTTTTTCTTCATTTGTTCTAATATTGGTTTTCAAACAATACAATATATATATATATATATATATATATATATATATATATATGGCAATCCCTATCACTATCCTCTCATGTCGCCGCCGCAGTCAATTTCCTTCCATACGTTGTCGGTCCCCAAAATTCCTGTCATTATTCAGCAATTACAGTAGGTAATATTTTTTACAGGTAATTTACGTATTATTCGTATTATATATAATTTTTGGATGATGTTTCTAATTCATTTTATATTATCATTTACTAATATAAAATGTAAAAATTCTCATACATTATTTTATTACGACAAGCCTATCTAGCTTAGGTTTTTAATAGATAGAGCTTAACAATATCCAAACAAAACTTAACAAGCCAGTGCTTGACAACATGACATATGTCAAACATTTATATATTTTAATTTTGCCTCCTAAAAATGATTAGTGGGTAAATCAATGAAATTTAGGACTTCATCCACCCAAACAGTGCCCACGCGGCAAATTCTCTGTCGGTGATTAAACTAATTTGGCCGGGTTGGCATCAAAGTGACTTTTTTAATTTTTTAATTTTTTGGTTTAAAGCCAATAAAATTTACTCTCTCCAGCATTCAATTCAATTAAATTTAAAATATATATATCATGATGTCACTTTTTATAACAAAAAGCATCACTATAA